ATTTCGTGCGAAGATATTGGCTAGTACCAACGCTATGCACTTCTGAACTTTCAAATGCGATTTCCGCGGAACTACCTTTTTGAGTACACACCCTTGTTCCAAAGGACTTCTTAATTCAGGATATACTTCTTCGCGCAGGAAGTTTGAAAATGACGCAAAGCTGGTCCGCTGTTGAATATGAAAGATTACACAAGTATACACCGAAAAAAAAATGAATGCTTCATTAGCGAATTCTCGTGTAATATTCAGCCCTGGGTCCAAGTATGACCTCGGTTTGTCCCTGTCTATGCCATTTTCCAGGCAAATTGGGATTATTTAAAAATGAATTTTCCAAGGAAAATTTGATTTTCTGGAAATTGATGTATGATCGAGACAAACCGAAGTAATTCTTGAATTTAGGGGCCAAGGATACATAGACACTAGCCAGACATGTATTGCATACCGCATGTCCAAAAAACATGTCTCCCTTTTTCTGATGAGAGTTTTCCGGTCAAAATGGCATTATCCACCCACGAATCCTATATAAAACTGATCCGTTGTTTTGAGTCCGGAAGGACAGAAAATCATTTTATTCAGATAGCTATAATTGAGCTACTATATCTTATTTTTTGCTTCTGACCCCGAATCGACCTTTGTATTTTTATGCATTTGTATTTTCTTTGTATTTTCATTGTATAAACATGCAATCTAGTTAGTACAAGGTGAAATTTTGAAGGAGAGAGAGGGAAAAAGATTGTTGAGTCTAGCAAAGGACAAGGTGTTCAGTAAGGCAAGTAAAAAAGAGATAGGAACAAATCAATTAAATGCATCAGGTATATACGGCAGGAAGATCCATTCAGCAATAATTTTGTTGGAAATGAGAATATTTTCAGACGTGACCGAACAATTGAAGCCTAACTTTGTGAGATAGCCTAACCAAATTTTATTGAAATTCACAGACTGAATGGCCTATTTTGGATCCAATGTTGAATACTGACTTTTTGCGAGGAAGGTGCAGTCCTTTTAATGATATTTTTATTAACCCTTAAATGCTGAAGCCGGGTAAAATTGCGAGGCTTCCTAACAAAACCTGCCCCGCAGATTGGATGGGGCTGGTTCACGCGAGCTTTAGATGTTGGTCTGCAAATCATTCCAAAAAAGAATCGAGTATCAAATCAACACAGTCGAAGAAAGGAGGGACCTATTTGGGCCTCTTTTTCAACTTTTCTCCCTGAATCTGAGAGACACCTCATTGGCAGCACATAGCGGAGCATTGCGAGTCCATGCCCCGGGCCATTGCGCCTTCAATTTTGCAGATGCAACACGGACATCCATCAAGCACGAATAGTCGTATCTTTGCGCCGTGATCAACGCGAGTCCTTTCCCTTGCTCCATTTCCTTATTGTGTTGGTTTCGTTTGTCTCACTTGTAGTGGTGCTTCAAAGGCTACGTGAGCAACGCAGTCGAAGGTAAGAAAAACGTAATCCGGCCTCGCTTTTTAACTTTTCTCGCGGATCTGACTAACAGCCTAGAGAAGAACATATTGCGAATTCACGCCTCACGACTCAGCCATCGCGCTTTTAATTTTTCGCAATAGAGGATCACTTTCCGAGTCCAAAACACCAACGATTTTTGAAATCAAACAAGTACGGATAGAGAGAAAAGGGTTCAAAGATAAATATTTCGACTCGCATATCTCGTGAACGGTTTGTCGTAAAGCGATGATCTTAGTCTCCAAATATAGAGGAAACCACCACCTTTCAGACAATGATGACAAAATTGGTCCATTTCGAAAATGTCATCCATTGCTGTCACGTTGCCGTAGTTCAAATTTTCAATTTTTAGCTGGGGCGATACCTTTATCGGTCACTCCTAGATTAAATCATTCGTCAAAAATGACAAGATCAGGATAAATGAGTAATGTGCAATGGATACAGGGAAATCAAAGTTTTCGATCATAAAAAAATGTATGTTTACCTTCAACGGTTCGCTGGGTAGAAATAAGAGGAAAAAAGAGGAATTGCTAATAAAATCGTACCATTTGAGCTTTTTAAATTTAAGTCCATCCTACAGAAACGATTTGAAAAAGAGGCATGAATTTTTGTTGATGCAACGAGAGTCAGCTGAGGCTAGTCTTGTAACATTCATATGTCTCGATATTTTGTTCTTTTTTAATAATTTTCTTCGGGAATTAGCTATAATGGGGTATAAAAATGCACAACCTTGCAATTCGTGATTGGTTTGGGGGCATTTGGTGATCTTGGGACTCGGAACAAACCAGGTCCAAGTGTACCACATCCACTTTGAACAATCATATCTCTCCTCCAACTTGTTTCCTCAGGATGAACTTGTGCTTGTTTTAAAGCTCAAACGGTCTACTTTCATCAAAAAATAGTTAGATTACTTTTTGTGCGATTCCTTCAACGTCGCAGCTAAAAAGGTGAAAAACTGAACATTTGAACTTCAACAACAATGGATGAAATTTCCAAAATGGACCAATTTTGTAATTATCGCCTGAAAGCTGGTGGTTTTTTCTACATTTTGAGACCAATATCAACTTTCTACGACAAAGCGTTAGCGAGATATGCGAGTTTAATTTTTTTACTTTGACTCCCCTCCCCCTCCCTCCGTGATCGTCCGATTTCAAAATGCGTCAGTGTTTTAGACTCGGGAGGAGATCCTCTATCAACTTTGAAAATATTTCGAAGATCAGGCCAAGGTTGAAACGGACAATTTGGAATGAGGCCCTTTCTTCCTTGCTCTAGTCACAAGAACAAGAGGCAAGTGAGAATTGGAATTGATGCGCGATACGTCATTACGAATCTTTGTTTACATTCCAAAGAGCCAAAAACGTGAATTCTCACGGTGAATGAGTGGAAATGTCTGTGTGTGTTTCATGTGCGTCTGTGTTAGTGACTACGCGCTCACAGAGGAACCAGTGCGTCTTCATGAGAGCGTTATCAGGCAACGCGCCGCGCCGCGCCGTCGCTAAATAGTCACCAGAGACTCTGCGTGAAACTAAATTCGGCGATAGTACGTCATCCGCGGCGCAGCAGTGTTCTCAACGTGAGATCGGCCGTTCTGTAGGTAGAATTTACCATTCCCTCACGTTGTATTTCACACAGCGTGAAAGAATGGTATAAATTCTACCAATTTTCAAGTCGATTCTGCCAGAGGAATGGTTACCCGTACCAGTATTTAGTAACGTTTACCTTGTTTCTGGCAGAATTGATTCCGAATTGACGCTGTGTGAAATACAGCGTGAAGGAATGGTAAATTCTACCAATCTTTTTTTTCAGTGAATATCACAGATTTTATGAGGGAAACTATTTTTTTTTAATAATATTGAACCCTTTCTCTCAGTAATCTCATGGTCGCAATCAAATTTCTTTCGATTGCCTGCGGTAAATGGATCGCGTTAGCTGAAAGGAACCAAACCACATCCGCTATTGCCTTTAAGAGGGCAATTCAATTTTTTACATGAAAACGTTTGTGCGGATTTTTGTGGCCATTTTGGTGGATTTTCTGCATAGAGCGAAGCAAATACCTTCAAATTTTCAAAAGAATCCGCACATAAGCTCTCTTGTAAGAAATGAAATTGCCCGGTTAAACTTGGCAAAAGCTAATGTGGCTTGGTTCCTTTATGCTTGACGCGGTCCAAATGATCAAATTCACTTTTAGACACCGATGACAAGAATGAGTACCAGAGCCCGACCTAATAAAGCAATTGAATAATGAGATGCTCGCGCGGAAAGTCGTTATGGAGCGTGGTCTACGACCAGCTGATCGGATCTGAAGATCCTGATCCCCCAAGTTCCGCGGCGGACCTCTCTGTGTCATGGACAAGGTCTACGGACTCCGCCGTACGTCATCCGCGGCGCAGCAGTGTTCTCAACGTGAGATCGGCCGTTCTGTAGGTAGAAAGCACGTAACTCTGATTGAGAAGAAGGGTAGATGCGTGGTTCTTGCCAAGCGTTTCCGTGGTCGCACCGAAATATTAATGGAATTATTCGCCCCCGCCACCCTGTCACAGCTCCCAAGTCCGGTCACTATTCAAATCGGCCCGAATCGTTACGAGCATTTGCGCACGGTTGCCGCATCGCTGTTTAAAGTGGTCATTTTTCCAGGAAAAAATTCCCTCATGCTTGCCTAAAAAACTTAAAGAGAATTTTTGTCCTAACATGACCAAACTATTTTTTTTATTTTTTTTTTATTTTTTTTTATTTTTTATTTTTTTTTTGCAAGCAGAAAAAAGACGTGAAAAACGAAGTTAAGAAAAATAGGCACAAAATATGATAAATAATAGCGTGAAATTAATGACAACAAATATTTTTGCATCCCGATTGACTGTTTATTCTTTTACCTCACAAATTCTAAGAGATATACGGAGGAAGCTGTATTAAACATCTACTTACCGCTTTCATGCAGACGCGTCTTTAAATTGAAATCTGAAAGGGGTCCAAATATGGAAGCAAACTTCCAGAATTTCTTCAAAATATGAGTCCTATTTTTTACGTTTCCTATCTCAACAACATGTTTATTTCAGTATGAGAGGTGTAGCGCCTGTTCTAACGAAATACAGGCAGGATTTTTTTTCAGAGGAAAGATATCGCATTCGATACTGATATCAAAACTGCACTCGAATGCTATAGTTTTCCTCTGAAAAAATCCTGCATTTAATACGTCGAATTTCTTTGTCAAATCTGGTACATGAATTCTTTAGTCTCATGACAACAGAAGTGCGATTTCAAAATTCGAAAAAAATGACGAGTAGCTGAAATTATGGTACGAATTGATGCGGTATATCGCGCGTCGCTCTGACACAAAAAATGGCAACCGTCGATACACCTTAAAATTAGAGAACTCCTTAAAAAAATGGGATCCGCACGCATGGCACTCTTCGATATCGTGTGAAAAGGTGAATTTTAGCAACGCCGGCTTTGAAGGTCAGGCCGCGGAGTCTGTGCGGATCAGAGCGCGACTTGGGATCGGTGAATTTTCTTTCGTTTTCAGGAAATAGCCGATTGAGCTGCATGTGCTCTCCCATCTTCACTCCCCCACTCTCCCCCCGCCCCCCGTCCGCGGGTTATCACCTAAGAAATGGTCTTACGCCCTAATCAGTAGCTAATCAGTGGCCACACATAGGTGATCACGCTGATCCTTTCTCCGGCAATCAGTTGCTCCCCGTGTCTTGTTCCGTTAACCCATGTTTGTGTTTTGGTCTTTTTGATCGGTTTTTGTTGATTTTTTTTTTTGTGGTCGCCGCAAAGGAATATTCAATTGCAGGTAAATTCATCGTATTCTTATCACTTAGTTCGGCCTTTCCGCTAACTTTCTCAGATATTCTCATCCTTGAGAACCGCTGAATGATGAGATTTAAATCAGAAGTCTGGTGACCCTATCCCATCATCATGGCTCTACTGCCTCGCTGGTACACGAAAATGTGAAAGTGAGGTCCGTCAAATATGAAATCGAAATTTTTCAAGAATTTTTAAATGCATCATGAATAAATTACTGTTCACGTTGATGTTTGTCGAAATCAGGGAAATTGATCAGAAGATTGTTAACCCAATTATTATCGTGATCTTGGTACCTCGTAGTGGAAGGAGAATTCGAACATGAGGTCCAGAAAATTTGAACTCTACAATTTTTAAGAATTTTAAAATGTATAATGATAAAATACACGTGCTGTCTCGTTGATTTTATTGCATTGAGGAGAATCAAAGTGCCTACCAGACCACTGATTATAATTATCATTATCATGCTTGTAAGCGTTTTACCTTATTGGTCGATTAAATTGCTTCGACAGCCTTTTAATTTTATCACTGAGTGCCTTTTTGCAAATGGGAAATCGGGAAATTTCACATTTTCGCATAGTTTTCACAGTTTTCCTTCTCTTTTTCCAAATGCCGATTGCAATATTTTGCCTTCAGGGCTCTGTTAGATTCCATGAATCCGTTTAATCACAGTATTGATGTTCTATCTATTCATATACTTGAGATATTTTCTCCTTGACTGGCACCTTTTTTGCGGCAACTTGCATGTTACGAAGTTCTATGGAGTTCCTCCAAGTGAAACTCCTATGGGCCAGCAAGGCTGCTTCGTGATAAAAGTGGATGCTGTCGGACTCTAAGGGGGTGCATTTGGTAATTGATAAGAAGAGCTGATTCTGATCATGCTTTTCTTTCTCTAAATTATCAAAAGTATTTTTCAAAAAAAGAAACAAACATTTTGATGAAAATACATAGGCACATAAAAGCCGCCTTAGCGCTTTTTGGCGCTCGACCAAAAGTTCAGGTTCTCATTAAATGAAAGATAACAATATCAGTGGCGTGGCGTGCTTTGCGATATATCGATTGTCATGCGATTTAAACTTATAACAGGGGGTTAAACTTAAAACACTTAAACGATAAACAGGGTGTTGGCAGCGAACACTTTAATAAATGATTCTTTTACAATACGTTTAAATGACATAACAATCGATATATGTATACATCGCAATTCACGTTACGCCACTGGCCAATATGATATTCAGATTCCTCCAGTCGAGCATTCGTTGCCCGTTTTTTGGAGCCTCTTAGTCTACTAAGTGACCTAGTATGTTTTGTATGGGAGCTCCGTTTATGCGACTAAATTTTGGACGATCCCTACAATGGGGTAGGGACAATATTACAACGGACATTGCCAGGGAATGCTGGTCTTACAACGTTGAGGCAGCGTCACTTCTGAGACAGAAATGGAGATTCACAAAAGATATCGCTAGAATTTCCTCTGCCGATACTACTCTACTCTACCAATTGTCAGGCCGTATTTCCAAGGGGCGATACGATACGATTGCCAATATTACCTGGTAAAAATTGGCAATAGGAGCTGCGTTTCAAAATATCATAGGAATTCTTATAGCCGGCTATAGAGGGCGATAGAAAATTATATAGCTGGCTGTGGAAAGCGAAGAAAATCATACAACCGGGCCATAAACGAAGCTATAAAAAATTATACAGTCGGGCTATAGCTCCTATCGCCGGCCTATACAGTGTATCGCCTGGCTGTAGCTTTATCGCCGTCGGCTGTAAAAGGCTATAAGAAATTGTATAGCCGGTTATAGAAGCTATAGGAAATCTTACAGCCGCCTGTAGGTCTATAGCATTTTGGAACACAGATCCAGCCAATTTTTATCAGGGATTGTCATACAAATGATCGATCCACAATCCATTCAGGCCAAAAATAAGCACCATAGCACTGTGTTTTGCTGATCGAAAATATCCGATCCTGGTAATATTGCTTCCTGTAACACAAGTAATGTTGCCTCAATGTTGCTAAAACTTGCCTCGTCAATATTACCACGACTTAGAGAACATCGACGCAACGTTGAGGCAGTATCCCTTTGCAGTATGGATTAATTCGGAACTTCCAAGTGACGATTTTGGTTGATAGTTCTCCATTTTTTTTTTTCATTTTGATGTCTCTCAATTTCGATTGAAGTCCCAAATTTTATGATTAAGTTCATCTTATGTTCATCTCTCGATAGGATGTCGGAGGATCTTTGAGAATATAAAACTCATTTTCTGTCGAGTCTTAGAATCTTCGCGTCCATTTCATATTTTTGGGGAAAAACAAATCAACGTACGTCATTCCATGAAGTTTCCTAAGAATTTCCTTCGCACAGAGATGAAATCGCGGAAGTTTTAAATCAATTAATGTTGAGTGGTTTCTCATTTAAATAATTAAGAATGGAATGCAGTCTGCATAACTTCCCGAACCGTCATACGTACTTTGAAAGTTTCACCAACGCTTTAACCGTGTTTAGCAATGAGGGCCCTGGACGGTCGCATCCTTTTTGGGCGAATGACTTTTGGGCGAGGTAATTCGCTGGTCGCCCTTGTCAATCATAGGAATTTTGGGCGAGGGTAGATGATACTGAATTTTTAATTTTTGGCAACAGTGCATCCATGGGATTTGTTTACAGGTGAGCGTATCAGATGATCATGCATCGGATACTGATAAGAAGGACCGTGGATGCGGGGTCTTGGCGAACGCGTTGTATTTTCCTCAGTTTGTGCACGCTGCTTGCTGCAGCCTCTTACATTATCAATATGGATCTACAAATATGGATCTACAATATAAATAGGTTAGGTTAGGTTAGGTTAGGTTGGGTTGGGTTGGGTTGGGTTGGGTTGGGTTGGGTTGGGTTGGGTTGGGTTAGGTTAGGTTAGGTTAGGTTAGGTTAACGATTCGGCTGTGATAATTCTCAGTGAAGTTTCCATAAACCCTTCTTTTAATAATATTCATAATATTCTTCCATTTCATTCTACTTTTTAATATTACTTTTGACGACCGTCCGATTCGGCTGTGATAATTCTCAGTGAAGTTTCCATAAACCCTTCTTTTATCGTTTTTTTTTTACCATGCTTCCCCTGCCAATCGTCTAAATTTGCCGCAATGGAGGTGAGCAATTTAAGTATTCTCCTGTATAACTTTGTTCTATGTTGCCACGTCGTGTTAAATAATTTTATGTACCTCATTTTAGCACTCGCCCAAAAGTCATACGAATACTCAAACAATCGCCCAAAAGTACTCGCCCAATAGTACTACTGATTTTCGCCCAAAACGGCTCTTTTTCACATGTTCTCGCCCAAAACGCCCCCGCCCAAATGGACATGGCAACACTTGAACAGCAATGCATGACACCGTGATACAATGCCGAGGAAAATTGCGGGAATAAATATAAGAAAAATCATGAATTAAAAAAAATAATCGAAAAAATTTAACAAGTGAAGCTGAGAATTGAGTGGTGACCCTCACATACCATACATGCCATTACGTACTTACTTGCACATTTCAATGATTTTAAAATCATATCCGACGGACAAAAAAAAACTCTTTGCTCCTATAAAAGGCGACCGCAGGAGATTTCAGGTTCCACCTACTTTCCTTGTCAAATTACAATGTTACTTCGATGATAACAATTATTTCTGAAGGCTCGGTAATGATGCAGCATCGTTAACGGGACCACACGAATAGTTACTTTAAAAGTATCATTGTAACCATTACTATAGTATTATTTGTGACCGAGAATAATTGTATAACGCATTGTGATCATATGAGCAACGATTATTTTTCATCTGTCATTACCATTGACCGATCAGTGACCTATAGAAGCAAAAATCGGGGGCTTGGAGGATATAAGGCGCATAAGTGCAGTTTTTGAAAAAATTGAGATATTAATAATTTTAAGTAAAACATGTCTGAATGCATATTCTGGGACAAATTTGCTCCCAAAGTCCAATTTATAAGCATTAAAAAGTCAGTTTGATCCTTCTTTCCGCCATAAGGATTCATGTACTTCCGAAACTTCAAACAAGTATTTCTCGAAATAGCAAATACTGCACTTAGTTGCCCTGTCTTCCAAGCCCCTCAAATCAGAGCTCACTGAGTGTTTCCTTTTTCTCTTAATTTTTCTATGGGGAAAAACAGTTTGCAAAAAGTGCAAGCATTTGTATCGATTTTAGTGATGATGTTAACCTCCGAGAAACGGCAGACTCAACCACCGCGCGATAAAAAAAATGCGTGTCTGCTATCTCCTTCTCTATAAATTAATCAACTCGCTCCTTTTTTTTTCATTTCATCTCGCGTTCATTTTACAATCAGTTTCAAACAGACGTTCATTTATGACTGTCCGAATGAAAAATTGTATCGTAATACAGAAAAAACTCAAAATTATTGGTACTACTCCCTGTGTTTTGTGGATATTTTTATTCAACAAAGCGCAAAAAAATGGTAAACTAAATCACAGATAATACTGTTCAAAATGTTCAATTTGCATACGGATTAAGCATATAGGTAGGTAATACAGTTTTAGATGATTTAAAGTATTGATCTGTCATACTTTGGGCTTATGATAATCGATTTAACATCCCTTAACGATACAAAAATGTACTAAACCGTGTAATTATTATTTGGGACCAAAGATAATTTTTTCCGTAAAAAACTTATATTCTGATTTTTTTCTTCAGTTTCACGAAAAAGCTCCCTTCAATCGGCATCTATAGAGACCTGTACAGGCTATTGCCATGTCAAAGATTTTTTTTCTCTGTACCATCATTGTGCACCTTTTTTTTCATTTACCTTGAAAGAATGTACTTGCTCACACATAAAAAACCGCACAGCCAAAAAAGGAGATCAACAATTTGTGCAGAGGAAATGAAACTTAAAAATGTCACTTTAATGTCACTTTAATGCGTTTTTTTTTCTCAATATATATTTAGTATTACAGGATGAGACTACGG